CTGCTGGCCTGGCCAGTGCCCTCTGGTGCCCACCTGAGCTCGGGGTGGGACTGTGCCCCTGGGGCTGGTGCTGCTCTGCATGGATCTGATGGGAGGGTGCCCACAAGTGGGGCATCTTTAGGATGTTCTTGTCCCTCTCTCAACTCTCCCCTTCTCTCTCTGCTGTCTCTCTCTCCTCTCCACCCCTCCTGCGTGGCCACAGCGGGCTGGACAGTGCCTCCTGCTTCCAGGTGGTGTCCCTGATGCGCTCCCTGGCTCAGGGCGGGCGCACCATCATCTGCACCATCCACCAGCCCAGCGCCAAGCTCTTCGAGATGTTCGACAAGGTCTGGCCCGGCACAGGCTCCCTCTGGCCCCAAGGACAGAGGCCACGGGAGGGGTGGGCTGTGGCCATTTGTGCTGGGTTTGTGTGGCAAGGCTGGCCTGTGTCAGGAGGGGGTGGCAGTGCCCTGGCTGCCCTGCACCTGCCACATCCTGGCTTTCTCTTGCAGCTCTACATCCTGAGCCAGGGCCAGTGCATCTTCAAGGGTGTCGTGACCAACCTCATCCCCTACCTGAAGGGCCTCGGCCTCCACTGCCCCACGTACCACAACCCCGCTGACTTCAGTGAGTGCCCCCACCCCAGCTCCAAACCCTGTGCCCAAACCTCCCAGGGCTGCCTGTGCCCTTCCTGCTGGGTGCTGGGGGCTCAGCACCTCTCAGGGGTCCTGTCCCCCTCCACAGTCATCGAGGTGGCCTCAGGGGAGTACGGGGACCTCAACCCCGTCCTGTTCCGCGCTGTCCAGAACGGGATGTGCACCATGGCCGAGAAGAAGAGCAGCCCTGACAAGGCAGATTCATGCCCCACGTGTGGGACGGTGAGTGGGGTCAGAGGAGCCTCCTGTGCCAGCAGTGGTGAGAAGCTGACCCACGTCCCTGTGCTCCTGCAGGATGTGGATCACATCGAGAGCCACACGTTCGCCACCAGCGCCACAACTCAGTTCTGCATCCTCTTCAAGAGAACCTTCATCTGCATCCTGCGGGACACGGTGAGGGCTCAGGGCTCGGCTCTTTGGGGGCTGGCAGCACCAGGGAGCTCCACGGGCTGTCCTCTGCTCCCTTGGGGTGTTTTTGGGGTGCTGAGCCCCCCTGTGCCCACAGGTGCTGACCCACCTGCGGTTCATGTCCCACATCTGCATCGGGGTGCTCATCGGGCTGCTCTACCTGCACATCGGCAACGACGCGGGCAAGGTCTTCAACAACACCGGCTTCCTCTTCTTCTCCATGCTCTTCCTCATGTTCGCTGCCCTCATGCCCACCATCCTCACCTGTAAGGAGCTCCCTGCCCCCAAATCCCCCCTGCTCCCAGGGGTGCTCCAGCTGTGTGGCGCTGTGGGTGCGCTGGGCAGGGTGGGGGGAGCCAGAGGGATTGGCCAAATTCCAAAGGGATTGAAAAGTAAGAGAGGAGAGAAAAAATTAAACAGGGGAAAGCCTTCTGTTTGCCTGTATTGAAGTTTTGCCCTTTATTTAGCTATTATCTGGCTATTTGACCCCTGTTGGCTCAAAGCATAATGCTGGAATTTTAATATTTTATTTTTTTAATCTTTGAAAATGTGTGTAAATCTGTAAAAAGCCCCACCCAAGCTGACTTTTCCACGTGGAAGTTCCCCATATCAGCCACTGATTTTTTTTTCCCCCAAGGAAGGTTTGGGCACCCTCTCATGATGCAAGTGGGGGTTACCTGGTGCACCCCACCTGCAGGGCGGGTGTCAGAGGGGCTGGAGCCCCCCAGGGCAGGCAGGGAATTTCTGGCTGCTCACCCCCTGTGTCCCTGCAGTCCCCCAGGAGATGACCGTGTTCCTGAGGGAGCACCTCAACTACTGGTACAGCCTCAAAGCCTATTACCTGGCAAAGACCATGGCAGATGTGCCCTTCCAGGTGAGTTTTGGTGCCTTTGGTACCACCCTGGTGCTGCTGTGCCACCCTTGGCATGGCCAGGCCGTGCCCAGTGCCCCAGGCTGTGTCTGTGGGGTCAGTGGGGTGAGGATGGCCCAGCAGGGCTGTG